AAATGGGCGTAGCCACGCCCACTTATGGTTACATGTGTATATCTTGGTAACCGCTGCACCAATTTCTTCCAAACTTGGCACAGTCATTGGCCTTACTCCAGCATACGAAATGGCTGAAAATTTAAAAAATCGGACAATAACCACGCCTACCTCCCATATANGTTCTACCAATTTGTACCAAACTCGGTGTGGTTATTGTGCTTGCCACATATAAGCAAAACGTAGAAAATTATTGAAATCGGACTAAAATTGATGCCGCTTTTCATATAACGGTTAATTTCAGAAATGCTTGAAATTTCAATATTTCGAAATTTAAGGACGCTAATTTACTTAAAATGTATACACCCCGGCTTATCATGTAGCGGTAGCTTTCGGAAAGGTAGAAAACATATATTTAATACTTGCGCCGGGTATTTAATGTTCGGCTCCGCTCGAACTTAGACTTTCTTACTTGTTGATTTTTAAATTGTGTGTTTTAGATAAAATTTTGCGAAATTTTTGCGAAAAATTTTGAAATTCGCACTTACAAAACTTTTTAAAATGTCACGTCCCTATTTATATTTTGGTCACTGTATGTATATACTATATATAGACATTCCAATCGAAACTTTGCTTTGTATAAAAACGGGTATGTAAAAATGAAAGAATGAAATGATTTTTTACGTGCTGAGGCATTTGATGATTTTTTTCTTACTACTTCAACAAAATTTTTATTCTCCAAAATAAATCAGTGGCGCTACCGATTTCATATGATTGTGTTAAGGCATGCAGCCAGCAGTTTTATATTCGCACTTTTGCAAAATTCCTTTCGACGGTTGATATTGATGTAATTTATTAAATTGATATACATATGTATGTATATATGTACGCATGTGTCATGTGTGTGAGTTTTCCACCTTACTTTATTTCTAGTGGGGAAGAAAGATTTTTCTTTTTGCAAAAGCGGAGTAACACTTACACATTTTAAGTGTACGAATATTAAGGAGAAAATCTTTTTGCTTAACAAATTGAATTTCAATCAAAAATCAATCATGCGGAAAGGAAATTTAATTTATTTTCCAACCAAAGTTGAAAAGAAATTAATTTGATTGAATTTGTAAACATGTCAGAGGTCGCTTTGCTTATTTACCTTAGCTCCTGAACCATGTAAACAGTCTATGCATTTAATAGTAATAGATTCAAATTGTTTATGACTTGTCATCATAACACAGATTAAAGCAATCTGTAAATCTAATACAACCAAAATACACAATATGAATAAGCACACAAACACCAACTAAGCTCTAGCGCAAACATAATTTGCCCCATGTCACATAGCATACGACCTTTCATACTTATGTGCACTAATATACGTATGTATATTAGTGTGAAAGCTAATGCTAAAAGCAGTAGCTGAAAGCAATTTTATTGCCAGCCTCAGTAACCTCAATGCCTCAGCAATGAACTGTATGTATGTATATTTTGTTTTGCACTACATAAATTCTTAACACTATTTGACTTGCATACATAAAGGCGCATAATGCATGTTATGCTCGCATATAAACGCTAAATCAGCACGTGCATAGGAAATTCGAGGCATATGTTAAGGCGCGTACCTCGAACTGGGTGAAACATGGCAACTAGCTAGTAAACACCAAAGGTTTTGGAGCGAGCGAAAACGTGAGAATGCAAAGCGGCTTAGTGATATGGGAAATTATTTTGCTGTTCGGACCATTATACCACAGTTTTCATGTTTACGTGGTACGTATGCAAGTGCATATATTGTATGCTTTGGCGGTGGATTTACTCTTGCTTAACATTGTCGGGGATATGAAATATAGACTTATGTCACTAAATAACTAGTCACATGTTATATTAACAAGCGTTTTATAGGTGTGGTAAATATGTGTTGTGTTTCAAGATCTATAAGTGGGGGCGGGCAGGCATCTTGGGGTAAGTGATTTTATGCCGTTCACTGAATACACCTAGAATTTCTACACGGCTGCAATTTAGTGACGAGAAGTACCTCGAGTCACTAAATTGCAGCCGAGTCGCATGCACTCGATATTACGTTCTATCATCAATTAAATCAGTTAATTACAAAAGGCAATAAGTCAGCATTTTTTCGATATGGCAAATTTTATGGAACTGATGCATTCAACGAAGCGAACTGCATATAAATTTTCATATCGAAAAAATGCTGACTTATCCGCTTCTGTAATTAACCGACTCAATTGGCGAATTTGGTTTGGAGGCGAACTAGTTTCGGGGTTGTATATTCAGTGTAATTTTTCTTACCAGAAAACAATACCCTCGAAGCTTAAGATCATTTATGACATGTAGGGTCACGGTAGGAAAGAGCTGGGAATGCCCACCAAAGATAGTGAAATGGATAAATACGACGATAGTACGAACCATGATAGGTTATGGAGCCATCATTTGAGTCGATAGAACAACACAACTTGGAACAATCAAACCGCTCTCCAAAATACAAAGGCTTGCGTGCAACCATGAGAACTTGTCCAATCGCGTCCTTGGAATTTCTTTTAGATCTTACCCCTCTTCGTACTCACATACAGACTCAGACGACTTTTCGTCTTTAGCTTTACTAAGGATAACCGACTAGTACCAATATCGGGGCAGAGGGGTTTCTTAGTCATGGGAAGTTAGATATTCTAACGAAGTTCAGCTTTACAAAGGGGTTCAAAACTGATCTGAGTAATAAGAAGAGCTGGACAGACATATCTGAGACATATCGGATAAACCAAAAAATGATAACCTGGTACACTGATCGCTCATCGACTGAAGAATTGAATTTAACGTAAGGTAGAGAACTGCTGGTTATGGGCACGCCACCCATCTCTTTGGACGTAGTTGTTCTATCAATAAGGAGCCTTATAAGTGCCACCAGAGGCCATTCCAGCTCCAGAAGAATATTGTTAAATTCTTTTCAAATTTGTACACAATTTCGTGCCAATTTTGAACCATTACGGTAATGATTTTTCTCTGTTGTCTACTGTTTTGAACATTTTTGTGTCTGGATTAAATTTTAAGAAAAATAACTAGACTCTATATAATTTTTTTTTTGCTCACTAAATCATCCTTAGACAATTAGATAGCATTAAGCCATTCCAACCAAAATATAATATAACTACTAACTATTTAATTGTTGCAAATTTGTGCATGTTTTTCTTTTCACTCGCGTACGTGACAACATTTTCGCAACATATGCTACCAAGAAAATGGGTTAAATGCCAATGGTGGGGCAACTATAAAAAGGACAAAGAGCAAGTTCACTGCACATATGTAAATTGTTGTTGTTATTGTTACGACATACCATCACACATTGGCTTCTAAGAGCGTTAGTTGCAAGTGCATATGGCAAACGATGCTTGGCAACCACACGCTGCGCTAATGTTGCTGCCTCAAGTGCGCATTTGTATGCTGCTTTTTTTGATGGGCTTTGTCTCTGTATCTGCTGTTAAATAATAGCGTAATGCTCGAGTAGTTCATGCATATATAGTATCTATACATGTGCATGTGAAAACACTCGCTAAGCGAACGAAAAGTCTCAGTGCAGCTATGCAATTTGCATATCAAAGGCGTTTAGCATATACACAGTCAAACATAAATATCTGGATAATTTTTGCTTTGCTTTTGTATCTGCGCGCGTAATTGTGCGAATGAAAAATGAATGTAAATTTTCACATTTCTCTGCTTAAGCGGTAAATGTGACGCCACAGTGGTATGGCGGCACAGCATATGTTTGTATGTAAGCATTTCCACACTCAAAGCCACAAATGTTGCGTATACGCCATCGGGGTGCCAGTGGCAGCAGTATAGCATTCTAGTAAGTATGTATGTATGTATGCGCAAATGCATTTGTTTCTAAGTGTTTTGTGTTACAACATAAAGCGCAGCTTGTTGTGCAGCTTGCTTCTGCATTTCCAGCTGTCTATTGTTTATTTCCTTTTGTCTTTTTTTCTGCTTACTCACTTCGGCCATAATCGCTGCTGCGGATGTGCTTAAAAATCTTGCAAGTAATCTTATGCGCCTGAGCACACATAGATGTGCGCGAAATGGCTCAAAGATTTAATTAACAAAGTTTAATGAAAGTTCGCATGCATAGCGACTCCTCAATATTAGAAAGTACATAGTCAATATCTGGGGGCGTTTTAAATATTGAGAGTTTATGAAAACACTCATTATGGGCGAAGTTTATTTAAGTGGGAAGGTTAGAAGCCGTGAATGTAAATCAAAATTACAAACGTAAGTAGTGTAGAATTTATATTATTGCTTTTACGAAGTTACCATTAAACGGTGATCAAATGAGGCGACTTTCCAGGCAATTTTAGAGTCGATTAGTTGAATCAAAAGTTGGCCGCACCCCAATTTCTTTGGAAGCGATGAGTTAAAAGTTGCTTGCAAAATCTCGTCATATAAACACCGTATTAGAATCCGCTCTCATTAAAAGCTGTGATTTCGCCATAGCCATTTATTCATTTTGATTTTTTAGGCCAAAAATAACTAAGCGGCATTGATAAAATTTACTTATACTTATACTTATATACCTTTACCTTACTAATACTAATACTTATACTTATACTTATACTTATACTTACAGTCGGTTTCACCAAATTTGTTCATTGCAAATTAACTCGGATTTAATTTTAATTTTAATTTTTATTTAACTTTGTACTTAAGTTTCCTGCGTTTCACCATTATTCAGATTTGGCAACCCAAAAATCTAAAAGCAGGGATGTTAGTAGAAATAACAGCTGATTTATGTAAACAAATAAATTGTGGTGTTATATTAGAAAAGTTCAAAATGGAAAGTGCAGCTCGAACCAAAAATTTTTCAACAGATGATATCAGTACTTTGCTAAGCCTAGTGCGGAAAAATGCAAATATTTTGGAGTGTAAAGCTACGGGGAGAGTGCGTCTCGATCAAAAAGAAAAGGCATGGGAAAATGTAGCGGAGAGTTTCAACTCGATGTGCTCCGGAGCACCACGGTCAGCAAAAAATCTGCGAACAAAGTATTTGAACTTGAAAGCAGACATGAAAAAACGATCTGCAGACCAGAAAAAGTATGCATATGGGACGGGCGGAGGTCCATCCAGAGAGCCAGCTGCTTCCAGTATTGACATATTACTGAGTGAGATATTGCCGGAGAAACAAGGGCAGGGAGTGGAGTCCAAATACGACAACGACTTCCTACCATTCGATAAACATTCTGCAGATTTGGATCATTCAGGTATGTACACAGTTGCAAATTACCAAATGATAATTATGACTAACATGTACATTTATGTATGTTTGGCCTTTTAACAGTTGGAACTGATCCTCAGCAGCGAAATGTTCAAAGCGAGCAAGTGGTGCAAAGCCAAACGATGAAAGAAGAAGGTGGTACAATGAAGTTTGTTTATTGAAGTAGCAAGACATCAATTAATAAATATCACAAACTATTCACAGATTGTGTAATCGATGATATGGGCTTGCGTGAACAATCAACAAGCAAAAGGCATCGTGCTTCAACCCCAAATCATACATCTGAAAAAGATGGTAACAGCAAATGTTTTATAATTTTAAAATTCTAATTACATACCTTGTTTGTTTGCAGATTATGAGCCTTGGGAGCACTACACACCAATGCAGTTGAAAACGCTTAAAAACAAGAAGCTTTGCACTGAAAGTGTAAACAGAAAACACACAAGT